TTAAAACAAAGAACTAGGCATTTTAAAATTGCAGGAAAGCATATGTAAAAAATGTTCTACCTTCATTTGTTCTTAATTTGTCCTTATGCAGCTTTAAGTTCAAGATGCTCTACATTTAATCTTGTGCTACTCCATTCACAAAATACCAACATTTAAAAGGCTAGCACGTGGCCAGTCCCAATACCCTTTGCTGCAATCTGTTGGCATTGTTTAACCTGAGCCATAATCATTAAATAGATGTCCAATCTATACATTTGTGATAGTTGATCCATCTTTTACATGTTTAACAGAGTAATTCTTCTTTTCCAGAAGTCTATTCACTAATAGAGATTAAGCATATCCTAAAATGCCATCAATTCAACAAGGCCTCCTTGCACACTAGCAAGGACACGCATATCGATCCACTGGCAACCTAGTATTCACCTGTATAACTCATTTTAGATTTGGACTACTTGTAATTTTCATTTTCTGCCTTATATTGCTACTTTCTAAATACAGGTAACCATAGTTTAGTAGCAGTACACTTGAATATAATATTTTTTTTCCATAAAATGTTTAAGCAGAAATGCCTTTTAGTTGTCAGATGTCCATTTTTGTTCTTTCTAATTTATCTCCATGTTGCATCTTCATAACCAAATATACAATGAAATTTAATCATTATGAATTTCCATAATTTACTGCAAATATTCAGCTTCTGCAGAGTCCAGGAAGTGCCTTCGTCTTCAATGGAAAGGTTGTTCAGTAAACCTCTGCTCAGTGGAGATTGGTGGCATATTTAATCCAGCTGTCAGAAGTCATTTCAAATATAAAAATCACAAAAAAAAATAATCTACAAGTAAATGACAGCAGTACTTCTGTTGGATTTTCAAACTAATTGTCACAATACTGGTTTGCCATTATGTCTCATGTCATAGAATTCAGACTTAGTCATGTTTATTATGAAGCACTCACAAGCTGACAAAAAAAATATTGTATTACCCCTTACCACAAACGTAGTCTGACATTAATGGCTCATACGAAGCTGCATATTATGTTTTTAATCTGGACTAATGAAACAATTAGCATATCACATAATATACTAAGGTAAATTCTCAAAAAACCTAATCTATAGCTAACACAATATCTAATCAACATCAATTTAACCAGTTATAAATTATATGGAAACATGTCTCCACCAACCTAATTTATAGGAGTTAACACAATAGGTAACCAACAACAATTTAAACAAGTGTAAATTATATTAACCCTTGTCCAACAGCCTAATCTCTAGGAGCTATCACAATATCTAACCTATAACAATTAAAACAGGTATAAATTATATTAAGCCCTTAAAGCTTGTGGTAGAAACACAGCAGCACCAAAGGAAATATTCCAAATGGCTCTTACACAACCGCAAGTGAACCTGGGTGGTTGGTGACACTTTATACCATGTTCCAAATTATTATGCAAATTCTATTTAAGTGTCACAAAGATTAAATATTTCGTTTTTCAGTTTAACTCATGGATGGCATTGTGTCTCAGGGTTCTTCTGATCACTGAAAATAATCTCGGACACTTGTGATAATTAGATTGCCAGGTGAGCCCAATTTAAGGAAAAACTACTAAAGGAGGGTGTTCCACATTATTAAGCAGAGCGCCATATTTATGCAATATGGGGAAGAAAAAGGATCTCTCTGCTCTCGAAAAGAGTGAAATAGTTCAATGCCTTGGACGAGGTATGAAAGCATTAGATTTTTCACGAAAACTTGAGCGTGATCATCGCACTATTAAGAGATTTGTGGCTGATTCAGAGCACAGACGGGTTCGTGCAGATAAAGGCAAATTGAGGAAGATTTCTGCCAGATCCATGCATCGGATCAAGAGAGCAGCTGCTAAAATACCATTACATAGGAGCAAACAGATATTTGAAGCTGCTGGTGCCTCTGGAGTCCCACAGACATCAAGGTGTAGAGTCCTCCAGAGTCTTGTAACTGTGCATAAACCTTCTATTCGGCCACCACTAACCAATGCTCACAAGCAGAAACGGCTGCATTGGGCAGAAAAATACATGAAGACTAATTTTCAAACAGTCCTGTTCACTGATGAGTGCCGTGCAACCTTGGATGGTCCAGATGGATGGAGTAGTGGATGGTTGGTGGACGTCCACCCTGTTCAAACAAGGCTGTGACGTCAGCAAGGCGGTGGTGGAGTCATGTTTTGGGCCGGAATCATGGGAAGAGAGCTGGTCAGCTAATCTGCTAAATAGTACATTTTGGGCGTGCTCTGAGATTCAAATAGAAGCGTCAAATACTGCGGTTACAGAGCAATTGTAAACGTTCTAATTGTTTTGCTGCTAAACTGCTAAATAGTACATTTTGGACGTGCTCTTCATATCTGAGAGTCAAATAGGAGCATCAAATACTGCTGTCACATTGCAGTTTTAAAACGTAAACATTTTGGGGGGGCTAAACTGCTAAATAGTATTTTAGTGGGGTACACTTCATATCTGAGAGTCAAATAGAAGTGTCTAATAGTCAATTGTAAAAATTCTAATTTTCTGGGTGCTAATCTGCTAAATAGTACATTTTGTGGCCTGCTCTTCATATCTGAGAGTCAAATAGAAGCGTCAAATAGTGCGATTACTGCACAGTTGTAAACATTCTAATTGTTTTGATGCTAATCTGCTTCTTACATTGGAGTTTGAAAAAGTCAAAAAAAATTGTGGTGCTAAATAGTATATTTGGGGTGTTCACGTCATATCTGAGAGTCAAATCGAATCGTCTAATAGTGTGCTTACAGCACAGTTGTAAAAATTCTAATTGTTTTGCTGCTAATCTGCTAAATAGTACATTTGTGGCCTGCGGTGCACTTCATATCTGAGAGTCAAATAGAAGCGTCAAATACTGCGGTTACAGAGCAATTGTAAACATTCTAATTGTTTTGCTGCTAAACTACTAAATAGTACATTTTGGGTGTGCTCTTCATATCTGAGCGTCAAATAGAAGTGTCAAATACTGCTGTCACATTGCAGTTTTAAAACTTAAAAAAAATTTTGGGTGCTAAACTGCTAAATAGTATTTTAGTGCGGTGCACTTCATATCTGAGACTCATATCGAAGCGTCTAATAGTGTGCTTACAGCGCAGTTGTAAAAATTCTAATTTTCTGGGTGCTAATCTGCTAAATATTACATTTTGGGGCGTGCACTTCATATCTGAGAGTCTAATGGAAGTGTCTAATAGTATGTTTACAGCTGTTCCCTAGCGCTCGTCAGCATGTATTAGCTCGAGAATTACCAGTTATCCAAGTAATACATGTAGCGATCAAAGGATCCATAATAGAGTTGAGCGAACCCGAACTGCAAAGTTCTGGGTTCGTACCAGATTTTAACGATCCATTCGTAGTTTCACAGTCAGGTGGGCAGTCCGATGACCAGGACCCAGGCACTGTCTGGGCAGCGGTCGGACAAGCGGGACCCAGTATGCCTGATGTTGGAGTTAGGGGTCACAGTGTGGAATGGATTAGCAGGGTCTGGTGCAGGGTAACTGCATGCCCCCTGGTGTTGAGCACCAGCATTTGTGCGGCCACATACCAGGACCCTGATGCAGCTTCAGTAAAAAGAGTACTGGAGAAGCCATCACCAGACTGATCCGCAACTTGGAACAGGATGTGACATTCACTCAGTGGCGTACATACCAGGGTCGCAGGAGTCGCGGCTGCGACCGGGCCCGGCCTACCAGGGGGCCCGGCCGCCCCTGCGACCCGGTGTGTAGCCACTGGGCCAGCCTCTTCCCCTGGGGGGCCCAAGAGCCGACCACCCCAGGGCCCCCCGAGGCTGGCCCTGCTGTTACCCGGCAGGTGGGCGCGCGAGGGAGCACTCGTGGGCGCGCGAGGGAGCTGAAGAGCAAGCACTCAGAGCAGAGTGCTCCCTCGCGCGCCGGCCAGACAGCCCGCCGGGGTCAGCAGCACCACTGGACCCCAGGGAATCCCCCCCCCGCACTCCAAAAGGTAAGGAGGCTGGGGGGATTCAATTTTTTTTAAAAACAAACGTGTTAGTGTTAGAGTGAGAGTGAGAGTGAGTGTTAGAGTGTGAGTGTTAGAGTGTGAGTGTTAGAGTGAGTGTTAGAGTGTTAGAGTGAGTGTGAGTGTTAGTGTGTGTGTCTGCTAGTGAGTGTCAGTGAGTGTGTTACTGTGTGTGTCTTACTGAGTCTGTTTGATGTCCGTTAGTGAGTTTGTGTTTGTCAATGAGAGTGTATGTTTTGTAAGTGAGTGTGTATGTATGTCTGTCGCTGAGTGTGTCTCTGTCAGTAAATGTGTGTGTCTGTTAGCTAGTGTGTATGCGTCTGTAAGTGAGAGTGTGTTTCTTCAGCACTTACCTTTCTCCAGCGCCGGACTCCCTTGGCGCTGGGGATCCCTCAGCCTCTCAGCTCCGAATGCGACCGCGCATGCATTCAAACCGACCATAGGAAAGCATTACTCAATGCTTTCCTATGGACATTCAGTGTGCTCCTCTAGCGGCTGTCAGTGAGACAGCCACTAGAGGCTGGATTAACCCTCAGTGAAACATAGCAGTTTCTCTGAAACTGCTATGTTTTCAGCTGCAGGGTTAAAACTAGAGGGACCTGACACCCAGACAACTTCATTGAGCTGATGTGATCTGGGTGTCTCTAGTGGTCCTTTAAGTGTGTGTGCATCTGCATGCACTGGCGTACATACCGCGGTCGCAGGGGTCGCAGCCCTGCGACCAGGTGCCCACCACCATGTGCTGCGGCCCGGCCCACGCGCGCGGGGGGGACCCACGGATCAATTTTTGCACCAGGGCCCCATGGGTCATGTGTATGCCACTGCATTCACTGTAGTGGCTGTGTGTGTTCTTTTGGTGTTCTCACCATGCTGCTGCTGCTCGCCTGTCTGCGCTGCAGCATAACTTCCGCCTTCCCGCTCACCGCCTCATGAGACTGTGCGAGCAGCAGCAGGCGATAGTGGAGTTTCAGCTGCAGCATGCACGGGTCAGTGACTCTGCACCAGACTCCATCCAATTGATCAGAGTTAAAGGATTTCAAGTGGACTCATTACAATTACAGTGCCTCTAAAGAGTCCTGTATTGTTATTTGTCGTCACTACCTTTCCGCATCAGGAGTGGGTCATTTGAGCGGCTACTGCCTTCCTTGCATGTGGTAGCCGTTTCTCAGGGTCCCTGTATGAAATGGAACCCTGATTCCCCGTTATCCGTGGTCACCATGGTAGGCGCAGAAATTGGCATCGAAAGTTGATATGGATGACATCTGAATGTAAAGTCGCTGTTACGGGGATGTGCGATTGGCCCGAGGTTCTCTAGAGTCAACAAAGTGCCTGCGCAACTATAATGTCAACAGCTACTCTGCGGAAAAGAGTTGTCTTTTTTTATTTGTCCCAATATTTTTGGGGGCTACCCTAATTAAAAAAAAATAAAAAAAAAAAATATATATATATATATATATATATGTATATATATGTATATATATATAAAAAACAGTGTTGGCTACTTCATCCTCCTCCTCTACCACTACTTCCACCTACACCGCCACGGTCACCGCCTCTTCAACCTATGGGTCACTTAGTATAAACTATGTACACATTAGCAAAGGCTTGTGAAGGCCTTTTCTCCATGCATCAGGAGTTGAGCATTTCTCCATGCATCAGGACTGCAAGAAATGCACCGCAGGCCGCAAATGTTTCTCCGTGCATCAGGAGTTGAGCTCAGTTTGAACAATGAAAGAGAATACCCTTCACTCCCACCCTCTCTCAAATGGATAATTATGGTGATCCTCCTGACAGCCATGCTTTAGATTTTGATTTATGTTCTTCCAAAGCTAAAATCAAAGATTCCATCTAGTGCTATTTTATGGCTCAGCTGTATTTTTTATTTTTTATGTTAGTTTAAGTGATTTCCCTATCCACATTTGTTTGCAGGGCACTTGACCTACTCTTACCCCGATTTTACTTCCTTTTGCAGCTCTCTAGCCCTTTCCAGGAGTTTTTTAGAGGCATTTATGTGGTCAAAAGTTCAGGTCCCCATTGACTTCAATGGGGTTCGGGGTCAAGTTCGCGGGTCAAGTTTGAGCCCGAACCCGGACTTTTTTTCCAAAGTTCGGCCAAACCCGCTGGACCCGAACATCCAGGTGTCCGCTCAACTCTATTGAAAACATTTGGAGCATCCTCAAGCAAAAGATCTATGAGGGTGGGAGGCAGTTTACAACCAAACAGCAGCTCTGGGAGGCTATTCTGATACCTTGCAAACACATTTAAGCAGAAACTGTCCAAAAACTCACATTTCAATCGATGCAAGACTTGTGAAGCTGCTATCAAATAAGGGGTCCCATGTTAAAATGTAACGTGATCTGTTAAAATGTTTAAAAAGTTAAAATGTTGTTATAAGATTGATTGAAATAGCTTTTGATTTCAGTAAATATGCTGCAAACACAACAAATGACAATTTTCAGTTCTTTACAACCTATAAAGTGTTTTGAAACTTACTGTGCGTAATAATTTGGAACAGTGCATTGTAAGTTTTTTATGTTTAAAAAAAATACTGTTATCATTAGGAGGTTTGTTCAATAAAATTTGAATTGTACTCTAAGTAGTTGATAACATGAGAAGTATGCTGACTGTTATTTACATCCATTATTTAGGTAAATGAGAAAAATATAATTTGCATATTAATTTGGAACAGGGTGTAGATCAGTATTGTACCCAGTATGTGCATCCAGGGTAAAGATGTACCTCCACACTACTACTATATCTTAAATATATTTGGTAAACAGATTACTTCATGGCTTCATATTTCCCCAGTATATACTCAACAACTAGTGCACATGTACATGTGTAATTGTATATGCCTTGATATTATAATATACTTAAAAAGCTACCCCAATCCTTTCAGATATATATTTTTTTAATTTAGAAAACCCAGTTGGTTATTGCATTATCCTACCTTTCCCCTCCCTAAAACTATGTAAAATGTCAAAAGCGAAGCATTTGTTTGGACCAGTCTATTGCTTCAGAAGTTCAAGGGCACAGAAATGCAGGAATGGCAAATGGATTTAAATAAAACAAGGGAGGAAGGGCAGATACATGCTTCCTCTTGAGAGCACTGCCTGCTATGGAGAAGCTCATTATGTCTGCTGCCAGTGAGCTGTGCATGCTGATGACAGATGTAATATTTGCACAGATTTGACATTAGGCAGTCTGGAACAGTGTTCTGTGCTGCCTAAATCATGTGTGCCAGGGGTACAATCAACTGTGCCAGTGGTGCAACATTTCAGGATGTTCAGCGTTTCTAACACTGCACACACAAGCTCCTATCAACAAGACCACTTCTAAAGGCAAAAGTGATCATTGTGTGTGAAGTAACTGTAACGGAGCTCCTTGTACTCCGACTGAGTACCCTCCGTTGATGGATGCTCCTAGCGCTTCCTGAGGACTCCCAAGCACTGCAGCAGACACCACAACCACCGCAGACTCCACAACCGCCGTAGCTTAACTGGAGTCTCGCCGTCTTCCTTCCACCCTGGATCAGCTTCTGTCCTCCAGGACCGTGTGGGGAAGACCTCTCCTCCAGGAGAGCGTAACAGGAACAGCTCTTAAAAGAGCTAAGTGATTAAAAGCTCAGGGGAATATGCAGAGCATAGCAATCCCCAGTGTGATATAGCAGTTCCCTCCAATAACGAGACAAGGCTACATATTGAGGGTCAAGAAGATCTGTCAAAACCTTTATTTCCCTTGGGACCAGCCAATAGGGTCACCACAATAACATTGTTGTGAAACCTCAATAAAATCACAAACAGTCAAACCATATCAAGCAACACACAGTGACTTATCACAACACAATGGCACATTTTTAAAGGGGTGGGGGGAGACAATATTTAACAGTAAATATCTCACCTGCCTGCAGAATTAGCAATATGCAAATCTACCCGAATATGCAAATGAACCAGTCTTGCAATTCAGGTAGTGCATATTGCTGTTGCTACCAACAGAGGGCACTAGACAAGCTCCATAGCCAAACCCACCTAGTTGGTAGCAAACCTCAGCAATACAGGAGAGCAGGCAATACATTACACAGTACACACACACACACTATAAACAATTACATTACACACACCTGCACCTATAATGGGTACAGGGTGACTAAAACATAAGATAAATAAAGCAGCCTACATAAATAGTCTGTCTGAAGGTAGACTAGGGGCTTTAAAGCCAGATACATGAAAGAGTCATAGTCACAGGGGAGGAGGCTGGCAAGTAGGCCTCTCCAGGACCAAGTGGCGAAGGGCACTTCGTCACATATCTCCCCTTCGGGGGGAAGACTAACCAGGCACCTGACTTTCTGTCGGTCAGTGCCTAAGTTAGTCGAGTCACCCACCGACCATAAGCAAGTGCCAGAGTAGCCCACCCACAACAAACAGTTATTAGAGCAGCCCACCCACAGCAAACAGTGACTGCACCTGGGTATTCCTCTGGGGTGATGGGGCAACACGCTGTGGGGACTTGAGGGGCAGAGGCCAGCGGCACTCTGCCCTGATGCCAGCGCTTCTGCTGGGAGGAGGGGGGTGCAGGCCAGTCCTGTGACAAGGGGATCGGTAGGGCAGAGGCCAGCAGCGGTCTGCCCTGATGCCTGCTTTTCTGCTGGTATAGCCTGCAGGACATCAGGCTCTGGACAAGGGACAAAGGGAGGGCAGAGGCCGACTGCACTCTGCCCAGCTGCCAGCTCTTCCGCTGGGGTGCTGGGAACATAGTCCGGCTCAGTAGCCAGGGGAACATGGGGGTCAGTGGGGGTTAACATCTCCCCTGTTAACCCTGGGGCCAAGTTAGGAGTTAGCTGGGGCGGGGAATTCGTACTTACCCCCTCCTCCTGTTGTCCCTGTGAGGGTAGTTGGGGATCTGGACAGGCTGTCCAGCATCCCTGTAGGTCGGGCACAGAGACCACGGTCCCCTCTGCGCCATCTGGGAGATTGGTGTCTCCCCTTGGTAGGGTAAGCTGCCGCTGGGGAGATAGGGTGCTGTGCTCCTCTCCCTGAAACACAGGCTGCCGCTGGAGAGGGAGACTGCCTGTCTCCACTCCCATAACATTGTCCTGCTGCTGGAGAGAGAGACCAACTGTCTCTGCTCCCTGTAGGACACACTGCTGCTGGGGAGGAAGGACGACACCTTCGGCTCCCTGTAACTTGCAAGAGAGACCAACTGTCTGCTCCCTGTAGGACACACTGCCGCTGGGGGGGAAGGACGACACCTTCGGCCCCCGCACTGAGTTCGGCACTGCCGCTGGGGAGGAAGGACGACACCTTCGGCTCCCTGTAACTTGCACTGCCGCTGGGGAGGAAGGACGACACCTTCGGCTCCCTGTAACTTGCACTGCCGCTGGAGACTAGGTGTCCATATCCTCAACCTCCACAGTTGTCGCTCAAAGGCCATTGCCGCACTGTTCTCAGCACTCAACTGGCGCATTACTTGGTGGACCACCTCGTTCGAAAGGTCTGGGCCATAGCAGACCAACCGCCTCTTTACCTCCTCAATGTAAGCGTCGTCCTCGTAGCGACGTATCATGTTGAGGTGCTCTTCGCAGGGCTCTATCCATCCCTTCTCCATGCTGCTGTAGTTAGGGACACTGCACAGTGGCTAGCGTTGCCCTCAATAACCTCTCATACGATACCAGTGTCTCCAAGCTGCTTCTCCTCACACTAGGACGCCATCCCACCGCTGCCACCAAAGAGACTGGAGCTCCTTGTACTCCGACTGAGTACCCTCCATTGATGGATGCTCGTAGCGCTTCCTGAGGACTCCCAAGCACTGCAGCAGACACCACAACCACCGCAGACTCCACAACCGCCGTAGCTTAACTGGAGTCTCGCCGTCTTCCTTCCACCCTGGATCAGCTTCTGTCCTCCAGGACCGTGTGGGGAAGACCTCTCCTCCAGGAGAGCGTAACAGGAACAGCTCTTAAAAGAGCTAAGTGATTAAAAGCTCAGGGGAGTATGCAGAGCATAGCAATCCCCAGTGTGATATAGCAGTTCCCTCCAATAACGAGACAAGGCTACGTATTGAGGATCAAGAAGATCTGTCAAAACCTTTATTTCCCTTGGGACCAGCCAATAGGGTCACCACAATAACATTGTTGTGAAACCTCAATAAAATCACAAACAGTCAAACCATATCAAGCAACACACAGTGACTTATCACAACACAATGGCACATTTTTAAAGGGGTGGGGGGGAGACAATATTTAACAGTAAATATCTCACCTGCCTGCAGAATTAGCAATATGCAAATCTACCCGAATATGCAAATGAACCAGTCTTGCAATTCAGGTAGTGCATATTGCTGTTGCTACCAACAGAGGGCACTAGACAAGCTCCATAGCCAAACCCACCTAGTTGGTAGCAAACCTCAGCAATACAATAGAGCAGGCAATACATTACACAGTACACACACACACACTATAAACAATTACATTACACACACCCTGCACCTATA